GGATCGAGTCCCACATCGGGCTCCTTGCTCAGCAGGGAGTCTGCTTCTCCCTCTGACCCTCCCCCCTCTCATGCTCTCTCTCTCTCTCTCTCTCTCTATCTCATTCTCTCTCAAATAAATAAATAAAATCTTAAAAAAAAAAGATGACTTCTGATATAACACAGTACTGTACTTCCTTCAGTTTACTCCTATAAGAACGTTAGGAATTCCACATCTTTAAGTCACCAGAGAGGATTTCTGGTTAGTGTTAGTTGCATCTCCTAAATGGAGGCAAGGCGGCGTCTACTTAGAGTGGTAGCTGGTTTTCTTTCCCCAGCTCTCCTAAAACAAGATTTTAGAGCCTGAGATGCGTAGAACAATTCCAGATTGTCATTTTATAGGTTTGCTTCTTTGGGAGTCAGGCACAAATTTCAAGAATGTTAGAGTCTGTGATAGGAAATAAAGACATGGAATCACAGAACATGAATATTCCTGTTTTTCTCTTAAATAGTAAAGTGTTCTATTTAGAGAAAACGTGGTTCCAAAGCAAACATGCAGAGAACATGACTAGGATGGAACAAAACGTCTAGAATTTGCTGAAAGCAGTCTGTGGTTGCTGCGTGCAGTATCACATTTCAGAGGCAACTTGAGCTTGCAGTAGAGACTGCAGCATATTTAAGACCATCACTCCCCTTTTTTCAAACACTTAGATTTTAGAGAGAGAATATAGCTGGACTCTAACGGGAGCAATTCTTAGAAAGGTCTGCTTGGATATACAACTTCAGATCTTGATTAGTTTTTTGATCTGTGGATTTTCCTGGGGAGATTTAGAGGTAGGAGAACTTTTTTTGAAAACGACTTTCATACTTACTCATATAGTTAATATTCATATTAACTAGTTGACTATGTACTAAAGTTTTAGTGTTGTACCTATTATATTAATTGCTAGTATGATTCTTCTCACATGCAAAGAAAAGCTGTTTTTCCGGTGCATATATTCAATGTGTAGATTTGTGCCTTTTCACAAATAATTATAAGAAATAAAAAATTTCCAAATTGGTTATCTCTGGGGCTTAGGAATGTTTGAGTGTTGTTAATTTTCTAATAGAAATATGTATTTTTGTAGTAATAATAAAAGCTTCATTTTGTAAATGCAGACTTAAAAATTACTTATTTGGAAAGGAGGTCTACACAATCCAACTAACTACATGTGTAACTACCCTCTGCAGTTCATTTGAGAAATGACAAAAATGACAAAATACAATCAGAAATAACCAAATCTATTAATTTAGGACTGGCTTCAAAGTGAATTATTTAAATATCTGAACAATTAAGAACAGTAGTTCTTCAGCTGTGACTTCCAGTTACTCAAGTTTTCACTCGGCCCCTCCCTTTTTAGTTAGCCAGAGTTTGATTATGGTTGCCAATAAGTGTGGGCCTCTCTCTCCACTTGGCTGTTCACTTTTCTCAGATCGCTGAGGCTAATCACATGGTCCTCAAATAGTCAAGGCACATGACTTCCACATTATTTCTGTATAAAACAACCAAGATGTTGGTTGAGAAACCTCTCTCCAACTCTGGCAGATTTTTCACCAGTCATAGCAAGGAAGCACTCACTGCTGACTACTGTGTATCAAGTGACAACTATGTGTCAGATGTATTACATATTACCAACTATAATCTTCCTATAGCCCTACAAGGCAGGTCATATTAGTGTGATTTTGTGTGGAGAAAATAGGTTTATAGCTTCGTAAGCTCTAGAGCTCGCTTAAGGTCGCTTTGCTAGTGAGGGTTTGTATTTTAACTCAAGTCTGTTAACTATACTCTTTTAATGGTGCCATAGTCTGGAGGTACTAAAAAACAACTATGCTCCAAAGCCTTTTCCCTTTTCTTTGAACAGTAATTTTAAAAGCAGTATTATTTAAGTTTAATATGTTCAGTTTTTTAAAGTGAATTTTTATTTTCAGAGATGGGTGTTATGCCTGAGATTGCTCAAGCTGTAGAAGAGATGGATTGGCTGTAAGTACACAAAGCTTAAATGTACCTGTGACAACAATGTTCAGTAATTTAAACAGTGGCTAGTGAACTTACAAAATATTTTTGAGTCTAGTTGAGTAACTAAAATTCAGTTTTTCCTAAGATTCTCTTAAATTATAGAAAGCTTCCTTTTTAAACTTTGATTTATTTTTAACTGGAAAAGATCGGTGCTGTTTACCAAATAAAGTTTTCTTTTAGGTTTATAGTTTAACATAACTTATTTAGCATAGGTACTTCTCTTTTTACTAACTAAAATTCTTCAAAATATGATTCTTTTAGTCTCCCAACTGATATCCAGGCTGAATCTATCCCACTGATCCTAGGAGGCGGTGATGTACTTATGGTATGTTTACATTTGGGGAGGTATTTGAGAGCTGAGGACACACATTTCTGGGGCTGTTTGTGACCCACTTGAAGAGCTCCATAGGCTTAGAAATGTTATTTTCACCAAATTACTTTTATTCACAAACATTTAGGATACACATACTGTATTCAAAGTAATGAGGGAGAAGTTGTGCGGAACACAAGGGTGAATAAGATGCAGTCTTTACCCTTGAGAAGCTTAAATCCAGTAGCATAGTAAGACAGGTACACAGATAAATGTCTGTCATACAAGGGGCTCTACTTGGGGGAAGTATATTTTGGACAAAGGAAAGATGAAAGAGGAATGCTCTATACGTAGAGAATGTATCAACAACAACAGTGAGTAGGAGAATGCAGGATATGATCCCAGAATAATTCAATTAGATGGTAGCATAAAATGTATGTGTGTGTGGGGGGGAGGTGTATAACTTGAGATAAGATGGGAAGTATATAGTGGGTCAGATTATTTGGGCTCTTTCTCAAGTGTCATGTTAAAGAATTGGTATTTGTTGGCAGGGCGGAATCATGGGAAATTTAAAAAAAAATTTGTTTAGAGAGAGAGAATGCCTGCACGAGCCGGGGTTGGGGGAGGAGCAGAGGGAAAGGGAGAGAGAATCTTAAGCAGACTCCCCCAAGACTGGAGTCCGATGTAGCGGTCCATCCCACAACCCTGAGATCATGACCTGAGCCAAAACAAGGAGTTGGACACTTAACCGACTGAGCCGCCTCAGGTATCCTGGGATCACTGGAAATTTTTAACTGGGGATGTGTTATGTCGTTAGAACTGTGTATTTATGAAGACTGATTTGGTAGCAGTTTGTAGTATAGCTCAGAGATTAGATACTGCTGGGATACTTCTGTAGTAATCTAGGTTAGAACGATGAGGGCTTGGATTTGAATGGTAGCAATGGGAAAGGAAAGGGGAAAGCAGATTCTTGAGGGATGGGGGAGAAGTGACAAGATTGGCAGTAGTCACAGTTGACTGAAGAAACCTGAGGAATCTAGAGGCACTGTGAAAATTACAGTAGCCAGTCAAGTCTTAAAGATTTCTCCATGCTGTCATGTTAATTTGACTTTTTTAATTGACAACCTAAATTGTAAACTCAACTATTTTTTTCCCACTTAGGCTGCGGAAACAGGAAGTGGAAAAACTGGTGTAAGTAATAAACTTAAATTGACTTACTTTGTAAGAGTTGATTTTCAAAGCAAGTTTGAGCAGTAGTTTTTACTTTGAATAGTTAATAAAACAACCTTTTCCAAAATGTAAGGAATTGATTGCTTGCCACTGAGAATGGTATTTTAGTTGCCAGCTAATTCTGAAATAAGATGTGCAGGAGCATAGATTTAAGACTAGTACAGTTTTAAACTGATCTTGGATAAAGAGTTGTAGTATCTTTAGTATTTATATTTATTTCTGAATTTTAATGCAGTGGCTCTGGTAATAAAGAGGCTGCACATAGAGGTGGCTCTCCTGTTGGCCTGGACCAGGGAAGCAGTTTGTCAGACTGGACAGTATTTTTCCTCTTTGAGATTGTTCTGAAGGTCCCCATTGTTTATGGTTTTGGGTTATCAACTGCCTCCTGGTTCCTTCATTTAATCAACTCTCTTGTTATCTTGCTGGTATTTTGAGTTTGGGCAAATGAAATTAGAGTAGCAATCTGGAATATGTAATTATTTAATGTGCATGTATAACTTTTGTAACGCTGACTGTTGAACTGTCATTAATATCTGAATACTCATGTAGAGAACTATTGTTTCTTTGATAGGCTTTTAGTATTCCAGTTATCCAGATAGTTTATGAAACTCTGAAAGACCAACAGGAAGGCAAAAAGGGAAAAACAACAATTAAAACTGGTGCTTCAGGTAAGTTTTGCATATTAATATTTTCCTTTTGTGTAAAAATAGTAATTCTCTTTCCTGGCATTGACAGATGGGAGGTGAGAGTGTGTGTTTTTACTGTTAATACTTGGGGGATAGGGCTGTTGGCATTGGGTGCCCTGGAAATCAGGGATGCTAAATGCCATTTACAGCATAAACAGTGAAATATTGTCCCTCCTAAAATACTAATAGTGCTTTCTTTGAGAAAACACTGGCATTTTGGAAATTATATTTAGTTATTTTAATGTTTTTCTTAATACCTTTTACGTTTAGTATTAAAGATAAATTGTTACAATGTTTTACAAAAGTATTAAGGATTTTATGAAAAATTGATGGAATTAAAGTCCATGATGGTGGGAAATACTGCCTTCCACAGGGAAAGGAGGCATGCATTGTTTTTCCTTTAAGATAAGAAAGGAGTCCAGGAAGTTAAAATGTAAAGTGTAAATTTTAAAGTGCATTATGTTTCGTCCTATTTACATGGAGATTGATCCTTTACTAGGATTTTCAGTCCTGTCTATGCCATGGATAATCTTAACATCAATTTCCTCATCTGTAAATTGTGTTGCTTTCATTAAATGGTTCTGAATCCCGTTCTACCTTGAGTAATCTATGGTTTTGTTATATTTTGACAAAATTTGTTCTGTATTTTAAGTCACATTTGTTTCATGATACGAAATGGGATTGTGACAAAGTAGCAAGCTTAAGTGGAATGAACTTGGCATATCAACATTTTTCTTCTCAGTAATTTGAAAGTAACAATGTTGCATAGTTCATAGAATGAACTCATTTGTAAATAAATTGTGAGATAATGGATATGAACTCTTTAGACTATTGGCCTATTCAAAAATAGTTTTAGAACTTGTAACAACTATAAACCATCACTTATGAGAGATGGTAATAAAAGAGAATATTTCCAGAGGAGGATAACCAGAATGGTAGTAGTTTAAGAAACAAGCACAAAAGAGATGACATAATTGTAAAATCATTGAAGGGATCTGGAGAGAAAATAACTGTTCTAGAAAGGACCAGGACTAATTAGAAATGATCTAATGAAGATTTCTGTTTAAGTACTTACTAGTAATTAGATGGAGCCCACAATGAGAGAGAGAACCTCAAGAGTAAGTTACTTCTCCATCAGAGTGTTTAAGCAGATGGTAGATATCATTTGACCACAAGTAATCTAGAAAAGATTTCTACCTTGGGCAGGAAATTAGGCCTGAAAACATACAGAGTTCTTTAGCTATTACAATTCTTTGGTTATCCGTAGACTATTAAGATGTTTTAAAAAAGGAAAATGCTGGTTCTATGCAAGTGAGGAGGGAAAAAAATTGTGACTTTTGAATGTGATATTGACTTATTTAAAGGACTTGCTTTTCTTTTAAAAATGATGATTAACTAGATCCTGATATGTTGGTCATTTATTTCAACGTGTTTAGTTACCAAGGCTTCATTTTATCAGTGCCTTCATAGTTACGACAGAGATCAGCTCCATCTCTTACCAAGTGCAGTGAAGCAAGTGAGGAGAAAAGGCTTTAGCCCATAAGGCAGTGATTATTGCCTTTCACTTTCAATTTTGCCTTTAATAAAAAGAGCAAAACGTTTACTCGTATATTCCAAATAATTTGTAAAATCGTATTAAATCTAGAGGTATTAAGGTATCATATAAAATATAAAATATATTTTTTAGAGGATGTTTTTAATTTCGTATGATTGTGTGTGACTTATTTTAATTTTAGTGCTCAACAAATGGCAAATGAACCCATATGATAGAGGATCTGCTTTTGGTAAGTGGATACATTTTAGCAGCTTATTTGTAAGAAATTTGTTTTTTTAATAATACCTGAGAATACCAAGAAAATTATGAAAAAGAATAGTAAATGAAGATTTAATTTACCAGATACTAGAATATAGTCACTACGTTTAAGTAGTTTAGTAGTGACATAGGAATAGTCAAGTAAGTCATTGGAATATAATGGAAATATGCCCCAGTATATATGATAAGTTAATATTGCAGAAAACAACATTTCAGTGGGAAAAAGGATGATTTATTCAGTAAGGGCGCTGGCATAATTGATGCTCCATCTGGAGCAATGTAAAATTAACTTATAATTAGAAAAAATTCTACATGTACTTAGGATTTAAATATACATATATGTATAATTTTTATTTTTTTTAAAGATTTTATTTATTAAAGAGAGAGAGCGTGAGAGAGCACAAGCAGGGGGAGGGATGAAGGAGAAGGAGAAGCAGACTCACTGCTGAGCAGGGAGCCAACATGGGGCTCGATCCCAGGACCCTGGGATCATGACCTGAGCTGAAGGCAGATGCTTAACTGACTGAGCCACCCAGGTGCCCATATGTATATAATTTAAATATAGAAAACTACATATACAGTTTTGAGGTGGGGGAGTTTTCCTAACCCAAAGAGGAAACTTGGGAATTGTAAAAGATAAGAGGTTTATTTGTATACAATTAAAAAAAATACGTGGGAAAGATACCACAGAAAAAAGTCAACCGAAAAAAAAATACAGAGAGAACACTTGCAATGTTGATGAAATATAAAGAATACTTATAAACTGGTGAGTGGTTCTTGCATAGATAGCAGATTAAGCTACTTATTTTGGTAAGAAAGATCACCAATAATGAAAGTGGGCAGAGGGTACGAATAGGCAGTTCACAGAAGAGCAAATCCAAAAATAACATTCAAAACATTCAAAAATAACATTTATAGATAGTAGGGAAAGGGAATTAAAGTTACAGTGAGATATTTTTTTATACCCATTTATTGGTAAGAATTGAATAGAGTGATAACCAACCTAACAAATTATTGCCTTTCTGGAAGGCAGTTTAGCATTACCGATTAAAATAAAAATATGTATTTATTTCTGGAAGGTCTAGCCCATTAGAATAAATGTGTCAGTATATAAGGATATACATACAAAGCTGTTTGATACAGCATTATTTGTAATGGTAAAAACTGACAACAAAATGCATGTTATTGCTAAGAGATTGGTTAACACAGATTAGGGTGTATCTGAGGACTACCGTGTAGCCATTACAGAGAATGAATCAGAACTAGTGTTGACTTGGAGAAATTTTCACCAGGTGTTGGTGAGTAAGAAAAGCAGGATGCAAAGAAATTGAGAGTGGGCATGAGGAATCATGCCCCAAAGAGCCAAAAACATCCAAATTGCTGCTCTCCACTATATGATCTCTGATTTATATAAAGTTTATGTCTGTATACGTGCATAAAGAATTTTAAATATAAGAATTTTAAGGATTTGCCATTGCTTGGAGAACCTTTTAATAAAAGTTCAAAGTTTTGGGGCACCTGGGTGGCTCAGTCGTTAAGTGTCTGCCTTTGGCTCAGGTCGTGGTCCCAGGGTCCTGGGATCAGGCCCCGCATCGGGCTCCCTGCTCGGCGGGAAGCCTGTTGTCTCCCTCCCCAACTCTCCCTCCTTGTATTCCCTCTCTCACTGTGTCTCTCTCTGTCAAATAAATAAATAAAATCTTCAAAAAAAAAAAAAGTTCAAAGTTTTACAGAATGTAGTACCCATATGAGTAAGAATTTATACTTTGAATAAATTAATTTCTGGTGATGTGTGATGAGATGCTTTTCTTGAAAGTTTGTTTTACATTCAGGTGCTGAATATGGGTTGCAAGCCTGAACCAGGACAGAAGTTATAGTTTCTTTCCAGTACAGACAAAAGCCATAAGCTTTCCTTAGAGTCAGTAAGCTCTAATAAGCACTGTGACTGACCATGAGGTAGAATATAGAACATGATTTTTTAGGGTCCTAATATTAGCAAATAACAATGACAGGTTTGTTTATTTGTGCTTTTTCCTGCTTTCTCTTAATGGATCTGGATCCATGGATTGAGGAACAAGCCAGAGACAAGCCAGAGATACTTCCTGTTTTCCTTTTAGTGTAGTATTTGCTTAAGCTCTAATTTAAGCATAAAATCAGAGCAACAGGTATTGATGAGTGAGTGCTGCATCCCCTCTGAGGATCCATTTCTTTAAAAGACTCTAGAGAATGGTTGTCTAAACACATTTGTGTTGGTGATACAGCTACACTGTCAGTGGGAGTGAGATTAGGTGCTGTGTTGATTACTTTCCAGACTTGATGCAGTAAAATCTTGTCCTAGTTAACAGATAACAGTATAGGAACTAGTCCGCCACATGGCCAGGGCCCCCCAAGGGATTAATAAGGGCGATTACTTGTGGGGAAGATCTTATTACTCAGAAATCAGTAAGTCTCGGTGTTTGGAACGTTGCAACAAGTCAAGTGAAGCAATTATTTTATTGGTGACTGAATGATATTTGTTTCAGGATGCTTAATTTGATATAATCTGTACTGACATGGTTTTTTGTGTTTTTCTCAAATCCAGCAATTGGGTCTGATGGTCTTTGTTGTCAAAGCAGAGAAGTGAAGGAGTGGCATGGATGCAGAGCTACTAAAGGATTAACGAAAGGTATTTAAATAGCATTTTGACCTGTATCAACTTTAAGTAGCTTTAAATCAAGGATCTGAAAAGATTTCTAATGTTATAGAAAGATCAATAGTTCTTCATTTGGAACATACAAATTGTAATTCAGAAACAATGGGAAAGTGGCTACATGGTAAATGATTCATAGGTGTGTATAAATCTCAAAGTATTTTGCCCTTATAGGGAAGCACTACTATGAAGTATCCTGTCATGACCAAGGATTATGCAGAGTTGGGTGGTCTTCCATGCAGGCTTCCTTAGACCTAGGTAAGCATTTCTAAAATAAATTGAATTTACTGGTTTATATTTGTGGGTTGTTGACATTTTATTATAGCGGGGAGCAAAATCATAAGCTTAACCACACAAAGTTTATGTTTTCAAGACTTGGAAATAATAAATCTATTTATACCTCACTGTGTTCCAAAAAGATTTGAAGTACTAAAAAAGTACATATTATTACAGTGTAAAACAGGAGGAAGAAGGTTAAGAATATGAGTGAAGTCAGAGTACAGTTAGTATGCATCAGTATGTACCACACGATATTGCATAGATGCTTCAAGTTTTTGTAGATTTATAGATTTAGTTTTATATTTACTCTTAACCACATAAATACATTTTAAAATTTAGGTACTGACAAGTTCGGATTTGGCTTTGGTGGAACAGGAAAGAAATCCCATAATAAACAATTTGATAATTATGGAGAGGTAAGTTGCATTATCGACCTAATCGTAGCATTAGTAAGTTTTCTTGTGTACTTAATTTGGTCTCTTGTGACATGTCTAGGGGTATAAAAGGGACTCTGAAATTCAAGTGGATTTTCTGAATATTTTCAACAGAAAGTTCAGATTTGGATTTCAGCAAAGAAATGTTACAAAATGAGATAAATATTTTTCTCTTATGCCATTTATTAGCCTCTCTAAAATATATTACTTTGTCTCTGTTTTCACCCATTTTGATTTTTGGCTTTGACTTGAATGCATATGTTCTTCTCTTATTTTTAGTCGTGGTGAATCTAAATGTGGTTTTCTGTCAAGTCTAAATCTATAGTAATGTGGATGAGCCTGAATATCATGTTGACTCTAAAAAGCCTGTCAAGATGCCTCTACTATGATATATGATTTGCTGTAATAGGCATTTTGTTTGTTTGTTTTGTTTTTAAAGATTTTACTTTTAAGTAATCTTTACACCCAACGTGGGACTTGAACTCGGAACCCTGAGATCAGGAGTTGTGTGCTGCACTGATTGAGCCACCCAGGCGCCCCAGTAGGGATTTTTAACACCTCCATTAGGGCTTCAAGGAATTATTTTGAAGCACTGACTACTTTTGATGTAGCTGTAGGTGAACTTTTAGCTTTAATTTACAATTTTTTTTTCTATAAACAGCATTTCACTTTCTACTTTTCTAGGAATTCACTATGCATGATACCATTGGATGTTACCTTGATATAGATAAAGGGCATCTCAAATTCTCCAAAAATGGTAAGCTTTCAATGGATTGTCTTTTTTTTTTTATTTTTTTTTATTTGACACAGAGAGAGAGAGTGAGAGAGAGAGCACAAGCAGGGGGAGCGGCAGGCAGGCAGGCAAAGAGAGAAGGAGAAGCAGGCTCCCTGTGGAGCAAGGAGCCCAATGTGGGGCTTGATCCCAGGGCCCTGGGATCATGACCTGAGCTGAAGGCAGCTGCTTAACCGACTGAGCCACCCAGGCACTCCTCAATGGATTGTCTTTTTAGAGAAGATAGATACCCAGTATTTGTGATTTATAATTCCCTTACCCTCTTCTTCAGTCCTCCCTCCCTCCCTGCCCTTCTTTTGAACCAGTACTTATTGAGCATTTACTCTGTGCCAGGCACACTGGTAGGTGCTGGAGATAGAGCAGAAGATGGAGTAGACAAACATGTTTCATCTTGTGGCTTACCTACTGGTGGGGAGAGACAGACAGATGCATAATATGTTAGGTTGGAACAAGTACACTGAAAGGAGTGTAATCAGGGTAAGGGACTGGAGGGTGATAACCGTCTAGGGGTAAGCTACTTTAGACCGGGTGGTCAGAGAAGCCTTCTCTGATAAGGTGCCATTTGAGTAGCAATCTGAATGAGTTGGGTGGGGTGGGCCGTACAGAAATCTTCAAAGAGTATTTCAAGCAGAGGGAACAGTAAATGCAAAGGCCTTGAGACAAAAGCGTGCTTGAGGTATTTGAGTGACATTGAGGAGGCCAGTGGGTCTGGAACACACTAAGCATGGAGCGGGATGGTAGGATGTTAGGTCAGTTGGGGTAGTGAGGCCAGGCCATATACAAACTTTCTGAGTGAGATTGGAAGCCATTAGGGTTTTGAGTAGAGAATTGGTATCTTCTCTCTTCACGTTCACCGTATATCATGGCTTCTGTGTTAAAAACAGAGTGGCAGGCATGGGAGCAATAGATAGGGAGCCAGTGGGATGCTGGGGGTTCTATTTGGGGCATATTAAATTTGAGATATTTATTACACATCTAAGTGGTGAAGTCAAGTAAGTGGTTAAATACGTAAGTCAGGAGGTCAGGGTTGGAGATACAGCTTTGGGAGACATTGGCTTATAGATGATAATTAAAGCCAGAGGACTGAATGAGATCACCTAGGGAATGAGAGTAAATAAGGAATAGGAGAGATCTGAGTCCTGGGGTGTTCTTTTGGTTAGAAGTCAGCAGATTGTGGAGAATCTTAGCAGAGGTGGAGGAGGAGGAGAACCAAGAGAGATTGAGGTCCTGTAGTACAGCTGAAGAAAGTATTTGAAGAAGGGAAGAATCAGATTGTATCCAGTGCTGCTGATGGGTGTAGCCTAGAAAGAAAGATGAAGATTAACTACTGGGTTTGGCAAGTGGATATCACTGATGATCTCTGTTTGGTGAGTGTGACGGGTGAATTGAGGGGAGCCTGATTGGGAATCACTTCAATAGAGAATGGGATGAAATGAAATGACACAGTGAAAATGGAAATCAGGGAGTTTTACTACAAACGAGAGAAGAAAAATAGAAGGTAAATAGAGGAAGATGTGGATTCAAGGAGGTTGTCTGTGTTTTAATGTTATAGTATGCTTGTATGCCATGGACTATCTTGTTGTGTCTAATGGAAGTGATCGGTATGAAGGGAATGATTGAAAATGTAGAGTGGGTGAAGGGGCACTTGTAGGAGTAAAGTAAAAAAGTGAAGAGTTTGACATTAGGCAATCCAATTTATCCGTGGGAATAGGATGGGAAAGCATGAATGCGGGTAGGTTGGTAGATTTGATGATGTGAACATGTGGATGTTCTTTTCTGATCATTTCACTTTCCTCAATCTCTTTCTCTTTTTTTTTTTTTTTTTTTTTAGGAAAAGACCTTGGTCTGGCATTTGAAATACCACCACATATGAAGAACCAAGCCCTCTTTCCTGCTTGTGTTTTAAAGGTAATCAGAAAAATGATGCTATGATTATAAGCTACTTTGATACGCTTTATTTTGTACTGGTTAGTTTGCTGTTAGGTTAAGAATTTTCATTTTCTCCCTTTATTCCATGCTAGAATGCCGAACTAAAATTTAACTTTGGTGAAGAAGAATTTAAGTTTCCACCAAAAGATGGTTTTGTTGCTCTTTCCAAGGCATCGGATAGTTATGTTGTTAAATCACAGCACACAGGTATTGCTCCTGAGTGGGTAAGAATTGCAAGAATGGGGTACTGGCGAAAACTCCAGTAAGGAGGCTTCTCATAGTGAGTGAGTTACACATGCTCCCTGTGCTGGTTTAGTCACACATCTTTACTTAACATGTCAGTAAAATTCAGTTTCAAAACCTAATTCATAAACTCTTGAGTATTTGGTTTCAGTTTAGACGTTTTGGGGAACTTGATCATGATGATGATATCTAGTATTTATAAAATTGTGCTTATTAAATGTCATGGCACTGTGTTAAGTTCTTTACATAGATTATTTAATCTTCACAACCCTATAAGGTAGTACTCTTCCCATTTTACAGACAAAGACCTCGAGGAATAGGGACTTGACGTAACTTGCCCAAGGTCACACAGCAAGTAAGTGGTAGAACTGAATTTAAACCCAAGCAGTCGGACTCCAAAGCTCATACTCTACCATTGTGTTGGCTAATCAATTTTAGTTACTTAAAGTAAATACATTTCATAGCTTGTTTACTTTATCACAAGACGTATAATCTATTGCAATCATTGCAAGTAAATTTAAGGAAGCTGTAGTTCATTTTAGGAATCTTAGCTTTATTTTGTTTTATGAACATCTATACTTTTTGACAGTTGTTATTGAAAATTTTGGTATTGGAATATTTGCGTTCATGCTTTACAACCGAAGGCATAGAGGGGTGATTTGAACATGGTCCATTGGTTTTTATTTTCTTAAGGTAATGCACAAGTGGCACAAACGAAGTTTCTCCCCAATGCTCCAAAAGCTCTCATCGTCGAGCCCTCCCGGGAGTTAGCTGAACAAACTTTGAATAACGTCAAGCAGTTTAAGAAATACATTGATAATCCTAAATTAAGGTAAAGCTTCCTTTTGTGCTCGAATGCCTTTTTTTTTTTAGGTTTGAGGTGTTTGGAAGAAGAATAAGAAAAAAAATGAGGTAGAAATTCAGTATGCATACATATGCACAGGTGTGAGTGTGTACCTATTTAACTTTGATACATAGTAGCATTTAGTTTTTATATAAAACTCCTGTTAAGTTTTTTAAATGTTTATTTTGTTTCTCTTTTTTTTCTTTTCCTGAGGGAGAGCGACTCCCACGCTGGGATGGGGAGGTGAGGTGGGGAGGGGCAGTGAGAATCTTAAGCAGGCTTTACTCCCAGCTCAGAGCCAGACGGAGACTAGATATCACAACCCTGAGATCATGACCTGAGCTGAAATCACGAGGTGGATGCCACCCAGGCACCCCTAAAACTCTTGTTTGATAAGTTTGTTCAAAAGTAAGTAAATTGAGATTTTTCTTTTCCATGAAATGTCATGGTTTACAAAACAGTATCAGTAAGAATTAATTTTTTTATTTTGTATTTTTTAAAGATTTATTTTAGAGCGTGTGCACGTGTGTGGGGGTGGGGGGTGTGGAGGGGCAGAGGGAGAGAGGAGAGAGACTCTTAAGCAGACTCCTCCCTGAGCACAGAGCCTGAAGTGGGGCTTAATCCCATGACCCTGAGGTCACGACCTGAGCCAAAACCAAGAGTTGGAGGCTTAACTGACTGTACCACCCAGGCACCCCAAAATTAATTTTTTAAAGGGAACATTTCATTCAGTTTAGATCCATCACTTTATTTGTGTAGAAAATATATCACTGTTTCTAGCATGTTGGTAAACTTTGGGGAAGCTGAGTCTAGCCTGTCTCACAGGGATGAGGACTTTCCATTTGGCCTTTCACTGGTCACTACCTAGTTAGAGGGCTCTGGGTACCTTTGAGGGGAGACCGTAAGTTAGGTGATCTTGTGGAGCTCCTTGCTCACTAGCAATCCCTTTTGTTTTGGGGAAAGCCATACTTTATAAACTACTCTGTGGGTTGATTTGTCACTTGGTTTTTGTTAATTATGTTTTTTATTGAAGCATAATTCTCACACCATAAAGTCACCATTTAAAGTGTACAAGTCAGTGGTTTTTGGCATAGTCAATTGTACCAGCATCACCACTTCAGAAACTTGGAATCGTTGACATCACGCAGGACCATCTTTTTAATACTGATCTTTCTTACAAGTTAAACTTACTCAGGGATAAATTATACTTGATGCAATTTTTCAAGTAAAATAATTCTTAATTTTGTTTTGAGGATTGATGCATGTCACTCATTTGGGAACTATTTGAATACCTACTATGTGTGAAGTCTTAGGCTCAGGATCAGGGCCATAACAATGAGAAAGTCTTTGCTTTCACAGAATTAAGTGTGGGAGTGTGGGGATTGTGTGAAAGGGAGAGAAACAATGGAATAAATGGGATAAAATGCCTTGGGGATATGATAGGGAAAGTCACTGTTGGAGGACACAATCAGGGCATCTGCTCGTGTAAGGGACTTGGAATTCTTCATAAGAGAGTGTTTTTTTGAAGAATGTAAGATGCTAATATGAATGGATTGTTATGCTATAATTATGTGTAAAGATTAACATGCTTATGGACAGGGACTGGAAGGGAAGATGAATAATAAAATCAATTTATTTGTTAAGAAGGTAAAACTGTGGTTTACTCATTTTGGTATTCTGTACAAATGAGCCTTCCTTGAAAACCCAGCTCAAGTCCTAGTCTGTGAAGCTAACGTGGCTGTACCGGCCCAGTCCTTTCTCCCTCCTTGGATACCACTGACTGTGTATGCCTCACCTTAATCCTTATACACTGTCACATGTTAGTGTTCCTTGTTTTAAATATGCATAGCTTTGCTCAATCCTTAAGTTTTACAATCCTTAAGTCAAGGGCTGTTCTTTTAAATTCCTCAAGCCTACAGTGCTTTGCACACAAGCATAGATTGGGGTGTGTGTATCTTCTGCTAAATTCATAGGGATAAATATATCTGATGAGGAAAGTGGATAAGATTATTGTGGCAGAAGAAATGATAGATTTAAGGACCATAGTTTCCAAACCTGGGAACTTAGGGACCTTATTTAAAGATATAAATTATTTATTGTTCTTCTCTTGGATATACTGAATCAGAATTTCCAGGGAATAGGAAGTAGAATTTTTTGTTTTCTTAAGAATGGCAACTCTTCCAGGTGATTCTTACCTAGATAATCTGGCATCTAGTATTACCAGATTTAGGAAATGTAATGGCTCTAGAGTGGTAGGTGGTTAGGGAATATGCCAAGATAATGGACATTCATAGGCGAGAAAGCACTTTGTGTTGTGTATTTCTCCTATCTAAGTTGTTCAAGATGAAGATAGGAAACCATAAAGCCAATTCTTAATCAGTCGTAGTGTTATAAGACTCAGTGTTAAAGTCATCTACTTTCTTAGTGTGTTCTAGGATTTTTTAAAAGATTGATCATTAAGAATAAAATTAATAAAGGAAGATACATGGTAGATATTTCTGATTGAAAGTTATCTGGCTGTATCAGGAAATAATTTTGCCTGCTTTATAACAATCTTTTGGTAAATAGCTTTAGTGAGGTCTAATTCACATACCATACAATCCACTCTTTAAAGTGTTCAGGTTGCTTTTAGTTTTTATTATATTCACAGAGTTGTACAGCTATCAACAAAACCAATTTTTAAACTTTTTCCTCACCCTCAAAGGAAACACTGTACCTGTTAACAGCCATTTGGTTTCCTCTTGACCTCTCCATGTCAAGGCAGCCACCAATATATTTTCTGTCTGTAGATTTGCCTATTTTGGACATTTTACATAAATGGGATTGGGTGGTACATGCTTTTTTGTGACTGGCCTCTCTCACTTAGCATGATGTTGTCAGGGTTCAGTGTGGATCTGTGCTTAGTTCTTTTTTATTGCCAAAAAGTATCCCATTTATATGCATGCACCATGTTTTTGCTTATGCATCCATTAGTTGATGGACATTTGGGTTGTTACCACTTTTTGGCTACTGTGTTGTGAACATTAGTGTGCAAGTTTTTGTGTGGACATCATTTTCATTTCTTCTGGATATATACCTAGTAGTGGAATTGCTGGCTCATATAGTAGCTTCATGTTCAATGTTTTCAGGAACCGCCCAACTGTGTTCTAAAGTGACAACACCATATTACATTCCTACTAGTTTTATGTGGGGGTTCCAGTTTCTCCAAATCCTCATCAACACTTATCTCTCATTTTGACTGTAGCCATCCTAATGGGTGTGAATTAGTATCTTTTTATGGTTTTGATTTGCATTTCCCTAATAGTTAATGATGTTGAACATCTTTTCTTATGCTTATTGGCCATTTGTAATGTCCACATTCTTTGCCCATTTTTCAATTGGGTTGTCTTTTTGTTGAGTTGTGAGAGTTCTTTATGTATTCTGATACCCATGTAATATTATTTATTAGATACAGGATTTGCAAATATTTTCACTCTCTTGATAGTGTCTTTGAAGTACAAAAGTTTTTAATATTGATGAAATCCAATTTTTTTTTCATTTGTTGCTTTTGTTTTTGGTGTTGTATGTGATGAGACTTTGCCTAACACAAAGTCATGAAAATTTCCCCTATGTTTTCTTCTAAGAGTTTTATAGGTTTATGTCTTATAATTGCACCTTAATTCATTTTGAGTTAATTTTTCTGTGTAGTGTAAAGAAGAGGTTTGACTTCAGTCTTTCGCATGTGCGTATCCATTTGTTCCAGCGCCACTGGTGAAAAGACTGTTCTTCCCCCCCCCCCCCAGAATGGCCTTGACATAAGGTGATCTTTCTTAACCTAAACGTTAAAAAAAATTATAAGGAATGAGAAAAATTCAAACAGTACAAAAGAATATCCTGTGAAAAATAAGTCTTTCACCCCAGTTTTTAGTTATCCTACCTGGAGGCAAGTTTTAAAAATTGGTATTTATATATTCTTTCAGAGATATTTTATACACATATAACCACAGCTGTCCAAGAAGGTATAGATTGAAAGCAGATTTTGGAGCCCCAGCAATTAACCTAGTACAGGAGGACATGGAGACAAACGGGAACTGGCATCCTCTGGGTTCTGAGCTTTCACATGCTCCTTGGCACATCGGCCTGCTCTAGCATTTATGTGGCTGCTGGAAATGAAGTGCTCGCTTTCCACCCTTCTGCAGCCTTTTGTTGTAGATTCTTTCTCACCTAACTCAACCTTCATTTCCACTTAAGAGAAATGGATAGAATAAATCAAATGATAAAGGAAGCTTTAATCTTTTTCTATGTTATCATTATGGTATTTATTTCAGGGAGCTTCTGATAATTGGAGGTGTTGCAGCGCGGGATCAGCTCTCTGTTTTGGATAATGGGGTAAGTTGTACTTTTAATTTTTAAGAGGTTACATTATGAGTTGTCATTTTGGCAGTGTAGTTCTGTTGTGTTTCAAGAAAAATCAAGTGAGGCTGAAATTAGAACTAGATCAAAACAAAATTTGTTCAAAAACATGTTGCAAGTATGTCTTTTCTTTTCCCAAGAGTATACATCACAGTAGGTTACTTCCAAACCCCTCATGCAAAATTCAGCATACGTGATTTTTTTTTTTTTTTTTTTTGGTTTACCTTTTGATCACTTGGAGATTTTCTTCTTGCTTTCTCATGAATTAAGAGTCCTTTCTTTTGGGGATAATGGAAAAAGAAGAAACTGGAGTTAGGAGTAGAAATGGAAATCAAGTGGATTGCAGAGAATATAGATGTTTTGGCAGTGACCCAAGGGAAGGATGAAAAGTGATAAACTGTGGTTTCAGGAGGAGGGAAATGAGTGCAGATGTGGGTCAGGGGAGTCTTACAGAGGGTGCTCGAAGGCATGCAGTTACAAAGGACAAAGCTAGGACCAGGATCCTCATTATTGGGGAATATTCTTAACCGGGCCCATCAATTCTGTGAAGCTAGATATAGAAATGACTTCATAAAATATTTCATATGTATGAAATAACTTGCCTGTTTCAAATTTCTCTTCCATTTCCTTTCCTAAATATTTTATCATTTAATCTAACCCACCTGATACTGAATCACAGCAAGGAAATATGTCCACTTCCTTCAGTTCCATTGGTGCCCTGTCAAATGAAATTTTATGCCGTATGGTTTAGATTGACCCGGTGTGACATATTAAAAGCAAAGAATCCTATTACTGTACTTGTTAATACTATTTTAAGATAGTAATATTGCTTTGATAAGTTCTTATTTGCTGTGCTATATTTTTTAGTGGTTGTAAGAGATTTAATGTTCATTCCCATTCTTGGCTCCTCAAACCCAAATCCATTTTCCTCATAATTTATTAAGCTTCTTAACTCCTATTTTCCAGCTGTGGAGCTTTTAGGGAATTCTATATGCTTCTCTCAGTCATATCTAAAATTTGGTACTGGCTAAATCCAATGGCAATGTTACTCTGTGGCTTTCTTGACAGGATTCAGTTCCATTCTACTTAGGGAATCTAATATGTTCTCCTTCTGCTCTTTCCATCTGTATCCTCTCCTCCTTTGATCTGCCATCATCCTCTGACTCAGCCATAGTCTTATGTTATGTCTTGTGCTGGGCTAGAAGTCAGCTTTGGAGTGAGAGAGTAGAACTATGTAATTTTTACAATTTTAAGAAGTTGCACAGTTATGCAACATGTGCAGTTGAGGCCTAGAGGAGTAGTTGGTGCTATTATACAGGTTTTTCCAATTTATCCTTTTTTAAACCTGAGAGACCCAGTGTCTATATTTCACATAAAGTGAGTTTTCACACTGACTTTAGCTGCTGAAATTGAGAGTGGAAACTCACATGTGGGTTGGAATCCTTTAGTAAAGAGATGTTACACACAGAACCAGAATATTTTATTCATTGCTATGTACAGCACCTGTCATCACAGTGCTTGGCACGTAGTTGGTTCTTAATACATTAAACAGGCCTTATCTTCATATTTTCAAGCAATATTCTCTACAATGAATTGAGACTTCCTTACAGTTATCAGTACAAATGAAATAGTCGCTTCAGAAAAGTCTTTCATTTTTCATGGGAATATAAATGCCTCATATTGGTTCGAATCAAAAGTCTGTTCAGTGCAGTATTCTGCTTTTTCAAGGGGTGGGATATTGAAGTAATGATACTACAGTGATAAATTTGTTAGGAGAAAGTTATGTTTTTAGGCTACAGTGGAGAAAACAATTAAGAATAGAAGTGAGTGCAGGACTGTTGAATCTCAGATCTGTACCTCTGAGACAAATAATGCAAGATATGTTAAGAAAAAAAAAAGAAGAAGAAG